GACGTCCCGAATATCAAGACCGTACGTCGAGCGGTTAAGATTTGTGCCCAACTGTTGATGGACGCACGGACGGACGAACAATCATGCGATTCTACAAGCTGCATCTGACTTCGTCAGCTGAGCTAAAAAGCCAGCTTCGTTATTCAGTAGTTACTTGTCTGCCATTTCCTACAAGTCATGGCTTAAGTGACCGTTACTGTTATACCACCAGCACACGACCACCTACAGATAAGTAGCTATCAGTATCAGGCTATTACGCACAACACTGTAAACAACGTTTACATGGTCATTCAATGATACCAAGCATCCATCATACAAGCACCTTCTACATACCCTACTAATATGAATTCTATGGCTTATTAGAGCTGTTTAGGTTTATTAAGCATGAAGGGGCAATCAAAATACATGCAAAATGGTAGCAATATTGTGAATAGACAGTGTTCACATTTAAAATCACTTCATCAAGCCGGAAAACCAATATTAACTCGGTATATTGAAGACATTCGATTTTTATTGGATGGCTGCCTCATTTTAATGCCATATGAATTTAAGTGTTAAATAACACTGCAGCCCTGTACTGTAGTACTGTAGCAACTTCATTGTACGTGGTGTTACAAAACATTGTCAAATACCTCTATCTATTGACCTACGACTGTGCCCTTGGCCACGCCACATACAATTAGCAACAACATAAAACGACAAATTTTAATGGTAATCAACAGATATCATCATTGCACATGCATACCATGGCCCAGCCCTTATTACATGGCGTACATGGTAGCTAGCCGTCTACCATTCCAGGTATTGATTGGAGGTAGTGGCATTTGACACAAAGCCCTCTAACTACATAGCTGCATGCATGTCAGCTCATGTATTCCAGTGATGACGCCATAATTTGAAAGGCCAGGAGGAATTTGTGAACCAGCACGAAATATAACAAACAATGGTCACAGATTCTGAGCGGAAAGGAAGGAAGCTCATTTCAATTTAACATCATTCTGCATATTGAAACGTATTTCCACTGCCATATTCCTTATTCATTACTAATTACATACTGTTATACCACCAGTACAGCAGAACTCAATACTATGCTTAGATGTACGTAGTTTAAAATTCTCCTTAATTGCATGGTAGTAATACCTAACTGGGTAGGTACACACCTTTCAGGATATTTGTGAACTTGAACTCGTCGCAGTCGTGCCTACATTCTATTTTTTTAAACCTTACCAGCAGTGCACTTTTAATATGCACAATATTATGTATCACAATTTACTTCGAATATTGCAATTTTCATCATTAGTGGAGCCAAGGACTTTATATAAACAAAGTATAATGCTGACATCTTTGATAGCAGTTATAAATTACAAAATATGAGGACAAGGAAATGTTGTAAAATATTACAAACTGAACTTAAAACAGGTTTAGAAACAATAACACATTGCACAGACTTATAACAACAGATATTCACATACTAGACAAATTAGCAACAGTTAAACACAAATTAAAATTGACAACATATTTTATTAAAATAAATGTAGTGAACAGGTACAACACAAACAAGGTATGGCAGGCCTGTGCCAGTAGTTAGTAATATCAAGAGCTAATAATACCTAGAGTGTACAACGGAAAAACGGGAAAATAGTGCTATTTCACGACAACATTATTCTACTTTGCCTGCGAGTCTATAATAATTTCATGGTATTGCATTAAGCAGAATTCTTTGCTCTCTAAAACAAGACCAAGCAACCGCTTGTCAATACGATACTCCTAGGCGGAGATATCGGCTCCTAAACCTCCCCTCCCACATGCCAAATG